TGACATAAAAATATCTACAAAGTTAAACTGGACATCTGGGCTTAGGAGATTTGCATAAGAGAGCAGCTCATTTCTTTTTCAGGTAAAATAATGTCAATAAATTAAAATAAGCAAGTGGTTAATTTTAACTGGTATGATGGAAGTTTATTCTTGACATTGAGCATGGAACATGGATGACTAGAAAAACTAACAATTCCATGACACCTGGGCAAACTTTACCTACTGCTTATGATCATGTTTTACAATCGAAAGCTCCAGAACAGCTGCTAGACTGAGTGGCTGGTGAGATTAATTTGTTAGTTAGACTGAAAGGTTCTGCCCAGTGTCTTTATTAGGGAGGAAGCAAATAAACAGAATGGAAAATATAGGTTATCATAAATTCAAGATACACTCCTTGATTTAGTTTTGAAAATCAACAAATATGTCACATTAGGGGTAATTATGAATTAGGGAAACACTGGCAAAACCCTCTACAGGACAAGTGGTATACTACAGTTAATGGACTGATAATGACAAAAATAAGCACAACTCTAATTATAATTCTTGTAACCATGATGCTGTTATTGCTGCTGGTATTGCTAGTTTTACTTCTGTAAAGGATCTGAATAGTTCTCCACTGAATATTTCTCCACCACTACACGCACTACTGAGTTCAAATGTTTCTATAAAGGTCCTTCATCACTTGTAACCCCTGATTACAGACTAAATATGTCTGAGTTGGGAATGGTTTTAATTGTTGGTCCAGGTCTGAGAGGTGAAACTATCCTGTATAAAAGCAACAAAAAGGAAAAAACAACTTAACACACCTTGGGCCACTCATTCTCTCACACAGTGTTAATCGTTCTCACAATACTTGCTGACTTCCCTAGGATGTCTGTTGCACCCAGCTCCAAGCACACTGGTTCAAATCTTCACATATAATATTTACATTCACATTTTAAAAACACACTAAATCATTTCCTAAAGCAGCTGAGCACTGTAGTTTTTCCCAACTTTTACTCAAACAGGGATAAACTGCTTTTGTTAGGTAGATTTCCTGTCTCAGAGCAATGGGCGTCTTGTGAGGTTTTACAGCAGCAGGACAGTGTGTGTTGGATTCACTTGGGATAAACTACAGTGCCAGTGTTCAGCTAATGAAGTGTTGGTAATAGTTTTTGGACAACAGTGGAGCTCAGTGGCACAGAGGAATAAGATACACAGACAGTACACATAAGGCACATAAGGTTTTGGTGTTTTCATAGGCTCTGCTGACTGCAGGTGGACGGACAGGTATAGTTACAGGTCTGTGTAGACTCTTCGGACTTTCTATGGTCCCTGTCCATGATTGCTCAACCTGTGTGTCACTGATCTGTGTGAAATGGTAATGGGCAGTATGTGTTCCTCACCGTGCTCCAGTGCCCAGGCTGCTTTCACAGCAGACGTGATGGTCTGTGTACTGGATAAACTGCTTGTTATTATTAGTTGTTAATGGTTGACAGATTTTAAAAGGAGATATGTGAGAAGACCAGAAAAATTTACACTAAATTGCTTCTCACTCAGAGGTGGCAAGCTGGATGTTTGTGAGCGTCCAGCTATGATGATAAGAAATGGCTTTCACAAAACATGCGCATTAATATTTCAAACTAGTATCATTTCTCTTGCTTTCATTGTCCTTTAACACATATATTTAGCTTCAAATCAGTAACTAACTCTCAGTCAACCTCCTGTTCCAATGTGATTGTGTGAGAATGGCATCACACAACCCGTAGCCCCTTTTAATCTACTTTTAAGAAAACCCATCGGTGTTTTGGAGCCATAAAAGCTAACACTTGTCATCGGGGATGACGGAGCTGAAGACAGACTGTAGATGATCTGTTTCCACTTGGTTCCACTTTACCCACATAACACAGAGCCATGGCACTCAGAGCAAAGGGCAGCTGAGGTGTGCATCTGCAAGAGATAAGAGAGCAGCGTAATCTGTGTAATGACACCCAAAGCACCAGCAGACATTTGGAATAGACAAACATGCAGCAGGTCTTTGCTGATGTTTTTCACTAGAACCGCACCGCCACCACCACCACCACCACACACACACACACACACACACACACACACACACACACACACACACACACACACACACACAAAGATGATAAACGTCATGTAAACATCACAATAATAAAATAATGAATTAATTCCTATAGAGATCTTTAAGGTGTCTCTAGGAATCAGCAATGAATTTTCAATGACCTTATTTTTTTTGTCTGTTCCTGTATTGTAACTTTTCTGTTAACAGTACACATTGTGTATACTAAAGTCCCTGGACAACATATTGACTCTAGTACTAATAGGTTTAGAGCAACCCTCCCTATTACTAATGATCAACCACATTGATACTACACTGAAAGATTACAGTCTGACCAATAACTGGCGAAGCATCTTGTTGTAAACAATCATACATATTCAGAGGAGGTCTGCAGCTTCTATGCCTATATTGTTTTTTTTATTTACAGCTAAAGTTTTCTGCTGGTTTGGTTTTATTCGCAGTGGCTGAGTGTATTAAATATTGAGCTTTTACTTTACCAAAATTGATTCCACAAAACGTGATGAGAATATTAGAGATACATTACCAGCAACAGTTTATTTTACAGGTATTTCAGAATATACCTCTTACAAATATTTGTCATTTAGCAGACATTAGTTCTCTGTCACATTAAATAGTGGCTGACTTGCAGAAGAATATCCTCAATGACACGTTTCAAATGTCTCAACTGTTTTATTATTTTAAACTTTGCTTGACAGGTGTCTGTTAAAATACCTGATACCAAATTCATCTGGTTTCTGGATATAACAATGTAATTTGGTACCAGCTATAGATATGTACGTGCTATTCAACTGATTTCCAGTTAAGCAAACCCAATAATTTGCTAAGGTTACCTACAGTAAGTAGCCTAACAGTCCATAATTAACATTTTACTAATCCATCATCAATCATCACCCTTCCTACACATTTAAATTACAGATTGCTATAAAGTGTTACATCTCAGCAACTCAGTGTCTCACACACAGGGTCAGTTTGTCTGTGATGAGCATTTATATTTTGTTGATAATATTTGTACTTAAAATAATATTTTAAATGCAGGACTTTTTACATTGTACTATTAGTACTTTTCCTTAAATAAAAATGCGAATATTTCCTCCGGCACTGTTCAGTTGTAAAAAAAAAAAAAAAACACTTGTTGAGTTGTAAAAAAAAAAAAAAAAAAAGAAACATTTAGTTATAGCCACGGTGTATTTTCCTACATCCGAGACAGATGATAATGTTCTGTTTCAGTTGTTATCACCTTCATGAATTATTTATTTCAGACCGACCTGGTTCTAGTGAATCTGCAGCAGTAAAGTGCCAGTTGACTATGAGCCACGACCTGCGCTGCGTCTGTCAGTCTACGATCAGCTTCAGTTTGACAGTAACCTGCCTGTTCTCTTTAACAACACGCTACCAGAGCAGTCGTTTGTACCCGAAAGTAAACCCATCTCTTAGGGAAAGGTCACAACATGATCCAGCTCACAGTGGAAATCCTGGAGTCTTGCGGATTGAAGGTTCAGGATTCTTTGCTCTGACAATCTCATCATCTTCGAGCTCAAATCCAGACTAATAAATTATCGTGGACTGTAGAAAACTCAGCTTCAGGATGGATTCCCCCCCTCTGCTTACATGCCAGCCATTACACTGCATTTGCTGGCAGCATGTAGCCTAATGTCTACAGCAAAGCTACGTTTAACAAAGTTCACAACATAGATTTTTTATTATCTGAATTTTTAAGTCAGATAGGACAGTATTTACATAGCCCCGCACCAAGAGCGCATCCCTCTGCGCCCCTGGTGCACAGGTGCAAACACACTGGACCCGCTTATTTACTTACATTTAAAAAGAAATTCATTCAATTCAACCTAAGAGCAGACTGAAGTTATTAAGGATGTCAATGTGGTGCCAAATTAACTCTTCACCTTTCTATATATTCTGTAAATAATTGTACAAATGTTAGGCCTATGCAGCATTAATTTAACTGTATAGCTAAATAACTTCTACTGTGTCAGAATGTGCAGGAAAAAACAACTAAGGCAATCTAAAACTTCTACAGGGACGTTTGCCCACATTCCAAAGATTTAGACCTACAGACTAATGTGTTAGTTACATTAGTGACAATAGATCATTATTATTATTATTATTATTATTGTTGTTGTTGTTATTGCTTTGTTCAAAGAAAGTTGAAAGCGTTAAAGAAATCCTTCTTATTGTATTACATTATATTTCTTTATGGCCCCTTAATGGGAGATATTTGGTTCTCGTTAATAAAATGACTAGACTTAAAAGAAACGCAGCTGAATTCATGAGGACCACGACGTTATTCCATTGCCCCATTATTGAGTAATCATGGCGACATCTAAATACAAATAAGAGAATAAATAAAGTCTTTAAACAGATAAAGAAACGCAAATAAACACAAAAATGAATAATTAAATGACACTGTTCCTGGTTTAGAAACGATTATGGAACTGAAGCACTGCTAGGAGGATTTGATCCGGCGATGGGAACATGTGGAGCTCGCCTTTCTCCATGGCATAAACAGGGTCCAAGGTCCATGAAAGTTTTTCCTGATAACGGGAGCCAATAAAAGCAGCAGTGCAGCAGTGTAAACATGTCTACCTCGGCCCCGACCAGGCCTCGTCCTGTGGATTTACATAAGGCTCCCATCAGCCGGCCCACTCATTACCATGTTTTATATCCTCTGCGCCCAGAAAGCATCATGGCAAAGACGTTCCATCCTCCCCTTCAGCAGGGAAGTGAAGCGGCTTCTCGGAGCAGGTGTCAACCGTAAACTCCCCTCAACACCGGACCAGAGAGGAAGAAAGGAACTTTATTTATTTATTTATGTTTTACTTTTTTAAAATCATACAACTTTTCCCAGGCCTCTTCTATTGTTGCAGCGCGTACACAGCCGGCCTATGTTGAGTTTTTAATGTTCTCTAAAATGGTATCCAAGCTGACATCCCTGCAGCAGGAGCTCCTCAGCGCCCTGCTGGACTCAGGAGTTACCAGAGATGTTCTGATCCAGGCCCTGGATGATATGGACCCCAGCCCGCCGAGCTTTGGAGTAAAACTGGAGAACCTGCCTATGTCTCCCGCTCCTCCCCAGAGCGCCAGTTTGAACGGGGCGGACAGCGACTCGAAGCCCGTCTACCACACACTCACCAACGGCCACAGTAAGGGCAAGCTGTCCGGGGACGAGGGCTCCGAGGACGGGGACGACTACGACACCCCGCCGATACTGAAGGAGCTCCAGTCACTGAACACGGAGGAGGCCGCCGAGCAGAGGGCGGAGGTGGAGCGCATGTTGGCGTGAGTGTTCCTAAGAGATTTGTTGAGTTTAAAAAGAATATAAATTAGAAATGGAAACACTTAAACCACCAGGTGAGACAGGAAATAAGCGCCCAAGGTTAGTGTACGTGTGAACTCACTGCACATGCTCCTAATATTTAAGTCTAGACGTTTCAAAACCTAGAAAATCAACTCGTCAGTAGTTAATAGGTCTTTATTTTCCTAAAACACTTTCCCTTCTTTGTTTACAATTTTAAAATAACCCGCCATGATCTGGTTACTAATTATCCACATGGATTATTAGCTATTTCTTTACCTTTACAAAATATCAGCCGAAGTTAGATCTATTTATTATTAACTATACTCCACCTCTCACCGATAAAAGTCCCGCAGGGGGCTACATGAGGACAGAGGAGCAACCTCTGGCTCGGAAATATAGGACAACAAAATGATTTGAGACATTTTTAATGTAATATTATTAATATTAATATTATACCATCTATGAATTGAGCCACGTTCAGTTGGGCGTCAAAGGTCTAATCCATTTACTTCTAATTGGCTCTGAAGCCACTTGATTGACTGTAAAAGTGGGAATACCAGACTGTTGTCGGCTAAGACACCGGGAGAAAATCCAAACGAACCCACGTGTAGTTAAGTTATTATTAATTTTATTCTATAAATCATCAACTGAAAGATACACAGTGGCGTGTGATTAGAGTGAATGGAGATCTGGTTATTCATTGTCAAAAGTTATAAACTAACATCTCCCACTTAACCTGCAGACTTAGACGTAGGCCTCCACGTTCTGCAAAACAAACAGACCAGTGTAGATTTGCTATAATTACTGATGTCGGTGTGTCTGGGCCCGCTGTTTACATCCGACCGGTTTTTGTTTCACTTTGCTGCAAAAAATTGAATGTACAGCCTATGATGAATAATAAGAAGGGTAATTTTACATTTATGATTGCTAAATTGATATAGGAGTCAAAGTCCATCTGGAAAAATGTAGCACAAATGTAGTTTCTTGGCCTTTAATAGCTCAAATGTTGGAGACAAACGAATGTCCAACATTAATTATTCCTTTGATTTATATTATGATTGAGCTTATATTATTATTATTATTTATCCTAAATTAATCGAACCTTAAAAATAAGAATAGATGGAATAATGCCTAGTTTTATAGTTTTTCCAAATACTGTTAAAAGATCTTGTAAATATATTTTTACTCAAGAATTATCAGAGATTTTTTCCAACTTGTCTGATGATTTCCTAATAGATTTTTTACATCCTTTGGATTCACATTTTCATTGTACAATCTTACTTTAAATTTACAAAAATAAAATTAAATTAAATTAAGGATTATAAATAAGGTAACAAATACTGAGTTCAAGTTTCTCAACCTCCCTGAATCTATTTGGACTAACCTTCAAAAACATTTACAGCCTATTGAACAGGGGACAGTGATAAACAGGTTGTTTGTGAGGGAAGTTACTACAGTTACAGCCCCTTTAAACTTGAGGCCTAAAAAGAGTAACAACTTTATGAACAGCTGCCTGTTTGATCAGAATATTTTTACACTTTTACACTCCTCTAAAAGCTGAACATAGGTTGAAATGAGTGGTTGTTTTCTGCTCTTGTGCTTCAACTGAACCCAGAGAGGATCCATGGCGTGCTGCCCGCATGATCAAAGGTTACATGCAGCAGCACAACATCCCCCAACGGGAGGTGGTGGACATCACAGGGCTGAACCAGTCTCACCTCTCCCAGCACCTCAACAAAGGCACTCCCATGAAAACACAGAAGCGAGCGGCCCTCTACACCTGGTATGTCCGGAAACAGCGGGAAATTCTCAGACGTAAGTTAATATTTGAGTTTCTCACAGCTTAGCCCCGGGCTGTAATGTGTTGTTGGCAACAGCAGCACTGAGCTTTATTTGGGTTCCAGACCTGTAGGGCTATCAAACTGCATTAGACATTTCCTCGTCTTGCTGGATGCACAGCAATAGACCTGCCATAAATCTTATGAAGTTTGAAGCTGAAGTTTCTTGAATTTTTCTTGTGAAGTTTATGAGGTTTCTATATAACTTCTCCTTCCATAAATCTGTCATCTCCCTTTGTGTTTTGTGGTAAACAAAAGCATTTTGAAATCAACTGTACTGAATGTACCTCTTTCTATTTTGCAGAGTTCAACCAGGTAGTGCAAGGTTCTGGCACCAATATGACAGACAAAGGCAATCAGGATTCGATGTTTTTTTATCCAGAGTTCAACCCGTCTGGTCAGGGCATGAGTCAGTCGGGTGACGAGGTCGGCAGCGAACCGTCCTGTAAGAAAATGAGACGTAACCGTTTCAAATGGGGGCCTGCATCCCAGCAAATCCTGTACCAGGCCTATGAACGGCAGAAGAACCCCAGTAAGGAGGAGAGGGAAGCTTTGGTGGAAGAGTGCAACCGGTAGATAAACACGATGCCTTCCTGTGCAATGCTTACAGTACTGAAACAACACCAACTCCAGTTTTTCATCATGTACATTTGTCTCCTGCAGAGCTGAGTGTCTTCAGAGAGGTGTCTCCCCTTCCAAAGCCCAGGGCCTCGGCTCTAATCTGGTAACTGAAGTGCGAGTCTACAACTGGTTCGCCAACCGGCGCAAAGAAGAGGCCTTCAGGCAGAAGCTGGCCATGGATGCCATCAGTGTGCCGACCCACAGCCTCAACCCTCTGCTGTCACATGGCTCCCCACATCATCCCCAGACCAGCACTTCACCTCCCAGTAAGATGCCAAGTGGTACTGCTTTGTGTGCAGATGTATTGCTCCTGTTAAAACAGTTCAACATAACTAGTAAGAGAGTAAATATGTGCTAATTTCATTTAATAGGGAACATTTTTAGTGTTTAATCCTAGTTAAAAGGTGAATGAGAAAAGGTTAGAGGCGCAGATGATGTGATCAGAGAGGCAGAGAAAGAGGGGGCAAGTGATCAATGAGCGTGAGTGAGTGAGTAAATGCCATTGTTATTCTGATCTTTGAAAACACACTGAGAACAATCCACATTGTACCTTCAATCTCCACTCCAAAGTCAGCATGGAGAAGCATGACACAAAGGGCAGCAATCCTGTGACAGGCCAGGGTCAGGGCAGGGGGACAGACACATCCACATTACCTCAACATAACGCCATCATTGCCATATTTCCGCCTACCGTACAGGCTGGTAATGAATTTGCTCAGAGTTGTCCAACAAGGAAACACTGTGCTTTATTATTCTGACCATTTCAGCCCAACCTGATTTTAGCATTTGGAGTAATTAGTCCTGACTGAGTTTACCTGGTGGATATGACGCAAAGCTGATTGGCCTCACGCAGCATTATCCTCTGTGCCATCAGTCACCCACCATAAAGCTGTGATTTGAGAGACTCACTCAGAACCTATTGTTGTCCTCTCGTGTTCGAACATGAGGTGAGCTTTGAAGGGAAAACCAACTGTTTGCCTTGACTTGCTCTTTAACCTTTGGATAAACTGGTCCCGCTTGTGGGTTGTGTGTTTGCTTGAGTTGAGAGAACACCTGACCAGGACCTGACCTCAGGTTGCAAAGCCAGAGGGGTCAGTGGATAAGGTTGTAGCGGCAGAAAGGAAGGATCAGTGCATAGAGGAAAGCACTTTGTTCCCCCAGAAACCCTCAGCTGGCTGCTTACAAGGTGTCCTGCTGGCATCCTGCCGACATCATCAGCTGTTTTTCAGTGTCATCCCCTGGCCTGACAATAATATCCCAGCAGGATGTCTCATTGCGTTGCTAGGCCACAGCCTGTATTATGCATGCTTAATGGACAATTAAAATCCTTTGCTACTACATCTCCCAGGCCTTTGATAAGGGGCTTCTCGGACTTCTCCTTTCTATACTCTACCTCAGCAGGGGGTCCCATTGTCTGTGGTGTATTAGAAGACTGCAGTGACTGTAACCTAGGTTCATTTATCTCTGCTGGGCCTGAAGGAGGACTGGGTTTACAGCCTCCCCCTTCACCTTTATGGGCATTAGTATAGTTGCAGAGGCTCAGCGCAGACTTGGAGCAGCAGGAGCTGTCCACTGGGGTATTGGCTCTTTTCTGGCCAGACAGGACTGATGACCCCTTCTTCGCCAATAGAGAAAACTTGTAACCCCCCCTCCTTAAACCATCGCCACACCTTCAGTCATACAAGAAAGGTCACTGCTGGGTCAGATCAAAGAAACTCCTCTTACTTGGGGAGTTTTTATTGATTCTGCTTCAGTTGGTTAGTCAGTTGGTCACAACTGGCTGGACAGTCAAACAGTGTGACGTGCAGTTTTGGTGGTGACCTTTTTTACCTTTAGAAATGTAACCGATCTTATAGGCAGATTACATTTTTTGTTAGCAGGCACATGTGAGCACACACCTGTGTTTTCCTAAGCAGTACAAAACTACTGTTCATCCACTAATAGACCAAAACATTTACTACCTCAAGTAATCCATATTATTGGCGGTATTTTACTTTTGAAGCATTAATCTCCACTAGCAGGTCAGTCAGTAAAATTATAATGTAGAAACGTGATAATTAAATGTTGGATTGTCTTCATCAATAATAATGGAACGAGAAATTCATTTGCAGAGGTGGAAAGTAACTAAGCACAAGTATTAAAATAAAGTTTCTAAATGTTAACATTTTAAAAACCATATCCTTATGCTTATAGGTGATATGGTGGTACAGTGGTTAGCACTATCACCTCATAGCAAGAAAGCTTCAGGTTCAAACCCTGACTGACTTGACTTTGCATGTTCTCCCTGTGTGGGTTCTCTCTGGGTACTCCGCCTTCCTCCCACAGTCCAAAGACATGCAGGTTAGGTTGAATGGTGACTATAAATTGCCTGTGAGTGTGTAGTTGAATATTTCTGTGTCAGCCTTGTGATAGAATGGTGACCTGTCCAGTGTGTACCCTGCCTCTCGCTCAAAGTCATTTGAAGTTGGCTCCAGCCGCCTACCCTCTACAGGATAGATGGATGATTATGCTTATGAAATATGTTTCTAAGAGTTTAAAGTATCCAGTTTTTTTTTTTCCAAAAAAGTCTTCTTCTTTGCAACCTTACTTTGCAGGTTAAACTTTTACATAAAATACATATGAAATTCTTACAAAACACAATGCATTGTTAAGGATTAAATAGTTTTTAAATTTTTTTTTACTTGTAATCTCCTATAATAAATCTGTCTAGTTGGTGGCCCTTGTCAGTTTTCAGATGTTTATAAACTGTTAGCACCAAAGAGATATTTATCACCTAAACATCTTAGATGGATTCATCTGCATAATTATTTGAGGTCCAAATGAGTTAAATTATAAAAGTAAAAAATAAAATAAATAAAATCCCCCCCACACACACACAAAAGCAAAGATTATATAAATGTCCAAAAATGAATACAAATAGGATAGTTAATTTGATTTTTTCGTCTCTGCTAAACCAATAAACTAGCAGCTCCTATAAGATTTGTGACCCTTTAGCGGAGGCCAGACAGTTAGGTTGGGGATCGCTGGAGTAAAGAAGTGAACTGTGTTAGTAGTTAAAACCAGCTGTGTCTTGACCAGCTACCACAGTAAAATATTGCTTACACATTAGTAGCTTCCTCATATTATCCAGGGGCCATTTTTGCACACCAAAAAATGTTGATACTTTAAGGACATTAGGCTGCTAATAGGTTGTGTTATTTTACTTTTTAAATGCAGGACTTTATAGGTAATTGTAGTGGTGCTTTTGTTTGGCAGCTAAAATGAGCATAAAATTGTGCTGGTGCTGTGTAAGCTGAGCTATTGTTCTGGCTGTTACAAAACTAGCAGACTCAGATGTTTAAGATCAGATACAGTAGTAGGGGGGACTAGCTAGCCGTGGGTTGTATTGGTTTCCATCACCTCAGGCTAGTTTGAAAGCTGTACGCATGCAGAAAAGGTGGCATAGCTTTGCTCTGTCTTTCTCAGAGCCCTAGAGAAAAGAGTGGACACATCCTGGACAGACCCAGGAGGTCTGTCATATGCAGTGGCACTACAATGAGTGCTGCCTGGGGTTGGGGAGCCAGGCTTTGATAATACATGGGTTACACAGGGAGCTAGAGCCTTTTAAACCTGCTGAAGGTCCTTGCTACCACTCCCCATCTGAAGTTCTCACCCTCCCCCTGCTCTTGAAGAGCAGTCCTCAGTTTTTCCTGGATTGTGCCATGTTGCCAGATCAAATCTGTGGTTTTACAAAGTCTCCAATTTGAAGGCAAGACTGGAAAATTCACAAGGCTAAACATGTTTTAAAAAATGTCCTTAACTAGTTTTCTAGAAACTCACTGTCCCTAAGCTTAGATTGTGGAAGCCCTCCTTTACTTACTCCAATGTTCCCTGTAGCTAGAATTACTGCTGAGCCTAAAGACACAAAACTGGCCTGAATGGCATCCTTTTCTCCCTCTGACACTTTAAGAGGTCACCTAGCTCTAAGATAACTGCCTTTTTATGAGTCCTCTTCCATTGTGTGGCAATGGGGGTCATGAGTCCAATGGAGTGCTTTATTGTTCTGTGGCGGTGTTTACAAGGCATGGTGGAGTGTTGTGGGGTTGCTAGTATGTTGCAAGAGACAATATGAAGCCTGTGGGCTGAAGAAAATGGTGGACAGATAGTTTAGAAAATGAAATATGGCACTGTGGTTTTGCTTCAGACATCATGGTATTTGTATTTTAAGTATCTGTAGTTATAGTTCAACACGATGGGAAACATGCTTTCTTGCTGAGAATGGCAGGAGACTGTTAGCTTAGCCTAGCATAAAACAGCTAGCTGGCCTTTCCAAATTAAGTTCTAAGGCTCGCTATATAATGTGTTTCCTTTTGTCTATATTTAAGTGTATTTCTCAAAATGTCATTATTGTTTTAAATATGAAGCTCCAATCAGCATGCAGTTAACTAAACATGGAAATAGCTAGCATAGTCTGAAGGCAATGAAATCCACCTTCCCAAACCACTAATGCTCTTTTATTAACAAGTGATTTATTTACTCTCTGTAAAAAAAAATCTGTTTATTAGTCAGTTTTAGAGGTGCCAGAATGTAAATTCATCATCTTTGTACAGGGCCTGGCTAGGTGTTTCCCCCTGTTTCTAGTCTTGCTAACCTAAGGTAACAGTCTGCTGGCTGTACACATTCAACAACACAAAGAAAGACGATTTTTGCAGGAATTTCTCTATCAAAAACGATTTCTCTTCCCTGCCACCTGAAGCAAACTTTCAGCTCTACAAAGACTCTACAGTTTCCAGCAACGACAAGAAATCAGTGCCCCCTCATTAGCGTCAGTGCCTCCCTCTGCTTTTTATCTTAAAATGGTTGTATATCAACATTTCCTGTCATGTCTGACTGACTTCGGCAGGGCATTCATGCTGTCACACCTGGGTCAGGCATGGAGTACTAGGGGAAGATGTGAAATCTGAGTGCAAACAGATTCTGTCTCTACACTGTTACTGAGGGAGTGACGCTCTGTGTGTGTGTGTGACACTGAGACCACGGGATAAGAATGTGTTTGACATTGCTTGTAATTGTGTAATGTTTACTCTATTGGTATCAGAGGGGGCCTACATCAGCAAACAGGCATTTGATTGTCAGTTGCGTGGGGGTGGGGGAGGGGGGTGAAACATTCTTTAGGGCCTCCAAAGAGAGATGAGAAGTAGACAAAACACTAAGTGATGGCACTAAATTTAACTACCACTTCAGTGTTTATTTGGAAAAAAATATTGTGAAACTTAGTGGTGGAAAAAAACGACTGCAAATACTTTATTCATTTTCTGTACCGAACAAATGTTTCCTACCATTTTATACCTTTACTTCACTACATTTCATGTGCAAATATTGTAGTTTTTAGTTTGGGCTCACTGAACTGGTAGGTTCAGGTTACTTTAAAATTTTTAAATGTTTTAACATAAAAGAAAAAAGTAAAATATTAGAAAGAAGTCAAAAATGAATACATACTTTTGTAAAATAACAATTTTTCTAGTTTTCTTCTGTCCTACTGCATCATCTCATATTATCTCCTGACCCCTCCTATTTATCTTGTGACAAGTACATGTTTGTGGTAATACTTATTGTGCTAAACTTTTACTTGTAACTGAGTTAGTTTTTTTGGTACTTTTACTTAAGGAAAGCTCCTGCTTGCTTCTTCCACCACTGGTGAAACTTGACACTGACGTAATTATCATCAGTGGCATTTGTGTGCTGATCACAGAGTCTGATGGGAGCTGTGCTGTTGTGAGTGTGTGTACATAGCGTATGGCCTTGGCTGAGCTACGCAGATAGCAGCAGTGGACGGGTCAGTGTGTTTGTTTGCTCTGTCCTCCCCTGTCTGAGTCAAAGAGCAGGTGAGTCTGGCTGGTTGGAGTGACAGCAGCACTGCTCAGTACAGCACGAGGCCTATGCTGCTACCTCTGCGGCACACATAAGCTTTATAGTTGTAGCACACAGTGCCTATGAGCTATGAAAGCTGAAACTAACTGTCTGTTTCTCTGTCAGTGCGTTACAGCCAAGGTCCGGGTGAGGTCAGCTCCTCCACGACCATCAGTCACCACAACAGCAACGCAATGGCAACCAGCCAGTCGGTGCTCCATCAGGTGTCTCCGGGAGGATTGGACCACAGCCACAGTCTGTTGTCACCTGATGCCAAGATGGTGAGTGAACACACCCAGGCCCTCATGGCCTCAGATTAGATAAGACCGGGCACTGCATTTAGCATAAACATACAAAGCAGGTTCCTGAACCTCCTCTCCCATGGACCCACTGGCAAGAGCCAACAATTAGCACATTGTGCTACTGTGTTTGGAAGGTGGGGCTGAGGTGGCAGGCCATGGCTAGACTAGCACACAGCCTTCACCAGATTGCACCAAGCATGTTCATTGCTCAGCCAATAAACCTGACAAAGAAACATTCTGTTCTTATTGATTAAACGCCTCGCAAAGAGGAGCTGCAGGTGGAGCCTTGCTTGTTCTGCCAGAGAAATGACACCTGATGCCTGATGTTTTTTTTTTTAACTTCAGAGTTTCTCCCTTCTGCCCTAGTTCAATATTTGGTCAGTGACAAGGAAACCTGTGCGTGGCCCACAGCTTTTGAGTAGTGGTCAAACGGTACTTTTGGTATATCATGAGAACTTTGTCAAAGTACAATATTCTTTAAATTGCCTTGCAGCACGAAAGTCAACTATTTAAACCATTTATCTTGCTCAGGGTCATAAAAATATAAATAATGCAAATCAGTTGTTGAATACCATGCACTAACTTCTCTGTCAGATCAAAACACTTCTGCCTTTTGGAGCAGCTTTATGTGAAATGTGCACAGTGAGGGCATGCAGTGTAGCGTGCAGCAGGTCAGAGCTGACAGTTTCTTATCTGCTGCTGTGTGTCTGGCTGGTCTCTCCTCAGTGGACAGCTGGCACTAGGCAAATAGTTGCAGCCCCACTGACTGACATTACTGTATGCAACATTACTGTATGCATAAGTGTTGTTTTGGATACAGCTGTTTTGTGCAAATAAGCATGTAAGGATTTGTTTAACTCAGCATCCAGATACAAGCAGTGCTGATGCTCTGCACACACATGCAGTTTTCTCTGCTGACATTTTTAGAATGATTTTTTTCTTTACTTTTTGTTCCTTATCAGTATTTGCTTGTGTACTGCGTATGAGTTACACAATCGTAGCGTTATATAAAAAATTTGAGCAAAGTCCACATTTATTTCTTTCGTTTGTTAAGCAGACAATGTCTGTTTCACTTTGAAAATGATTTTATGTGAATCTGCACAGCAGATCCTCAAGCTCTCTTAACTTTAAGTGTTTTAGTCTGGTACAACAAATAATACCGCTGTAACTGTGTTTGTTTCGTTCATCTTTTTTCCAGATTTCCGGTTCAGGCGGAGGACTTCCTCCAGTCAGCACGCTGACAAACATCCACAGTTCCCACCACAGCCATCAGCAGACACAGAACCTCATCATGCCTCTATCTGGAGTCATGGCCATAGCACAGAGTAAGCCCTTCAACCCTCTGTGTGCCTAAAGATGTAAAAGAAGCGAGGCTCATGTATTTTCTCGTGGCATGATTTGACTGAAGTCTTGCTGTGTCTCAACAGGTCTAAACACATCGCAGTCTCAGACAGTGCCAGTGATCAACAGCGTGGCGGGCAGCCTTGCGGCGCTGCAGCCAGTGCCGTTCTCTCAGCAGCTCCACAGCCCCCACCAGCAGAGCCTGATGCAGCAGTCTCCCAGCCACACGAGCCAGCAGCCGTTCATGGCTACTGTCACACACTCGCACAGTCAGTAACACGTTTCTACTGACTTCCTCTTTGTGCCTCTAATATGTTTTGTAAATATCTTTTGTCTTGTGCTGCCTAATAACAAAGCACAATCTACTGGGCTGTAACTAACTATTATTTGCAATTTCAATTAATCTGGTGATTTTTTTTTTGATTAATCATTGCAAAAATTTGGTTTCTCTGTCCCACAAAGTTTAGAGCCACAGTTCCTAAATATTCTCCTAATGATGAAAGCAGAATGTGAAAATGAAAAACTGCTCTAATCAGTGTTAGCTTTTTTTTTTTCTTTTAACAACCTTATGTCTTTGGTGTCTTTAGAGCGTAGTTTAGATATGTGTCTGGACATAAACATTTTGAGTTTGTCTTGACATTACATTACACTCTATTGAAATTTGATATTTTATTCTGCTGCCTTTTCTCACTTTCCTCTGTAACCTATGCACCTGAACGGCTCCACATAAACTGTTAACATATCTGATATAACTCTTATTATATCTATATCTTTAGTCTTTACAGTTGAGGGTATGTAATAAATCTATGTTGTTTTCTTTTGCAGTGTACCCTCACAAGCAAGAGCCCCCTCAATATTCCCACCCATCACGTTTCCCTTCGGCCATGGTGGTCACAGACGCCAGCAACATCAGCACCCTAAGCTCCATGTCCTCAAGCAAGACGGTCAGTCTGCGATCCACATCACATCAAGCCACAGTTAGATGCAACTTCTCGCCTCTGTCTGCCTATTATTGTAGATTTTAGTCCAAGTAATCATTATGAGGGTATTTGCATATGAGTCAGCATGAAATATGTGATATTATTGCAATGTGTTCTGTAATGCTGCTGCTGCTGCAGAGTACATTCTTACGTTTTGCAACAGGGTCTACTGTCTCTTAAAAAGCGATACTTTAATCAGCACACTCAATTCCTATTTGTAACACAAAAATCACCCTCATGTCCTCACCCTGTTCTGAGTGAGAGAAAAGACACAATCGAAGCACACACAAACAGCAGGAACTACATTTCAACAGGAGGAGAAGTGTGTGTGTCATGATTGTGTGTTGACTTGTTTAATTCCTGTCACATTAGGATGCTCCTGTAAACAAGATGGTGCAACTTGGGGGTCTCTCCTGGGTAAATACAATTTTATTAGTTCAGTCATGCAAAATGAGTAAAAACACCCAAATTGCACACAAATTAAAAGTAGCTGTGCACTGCTTTTTTTTCCTTAGCAAAGCTTTTGTTTGGGGCTGTTGCTGTTATTCTTTTGCTTTCATTTGACTCCAGGCTAATAGACAGGACAGATACATGGATAGCACACTCCTCAGAATTCCTATTTCCTTTTAAACAGACATTTAATTAATCACCTGTTCCCTCATCCTGAACGCCTCCTGATTAATGTGCCCTCCTTTCACTTTCCTCTGGTGATAGTTACCTCTGCCATGAGGAAATGAGCTTGCTGTTGATCAAAGTTCTCAAGCCTGCTACGTTCCTCCATGCTACAGTAAGACTGGAGATGAGATGGGTGGAAGTTTTTTTTTGGGCAATTACCCTCTTCCTCTTTCCTACTTCTTCCTGCCCTCGGTGATCACTCTGGCCTGAAATGTTGTCCACGGTGCATTCACACGCTCAATTTCCCACGCTGAGGCAAAGTGCTTGTACCTGCCGAGTTACTACTGACAGACTGATGGGTTGACGGGCTGATAGCTCCTCTGTGTAGAGTAAAGGAAGAAACACATATCTCTCAAAGGCTGTAACATTATAGACACATTATGGCCTGGTTGGATCTCAGTTTCCAGACACGATCAGCAGTTTACTGATGCACGTAACAGTGAAGGTATATGTACTGTATGTTGTGATAAAAACTGCACTGTAGCCTGCTTCTATATCCAAGCACCAAAATCACAATGTAAAAATTCTCTGTTAAAAGTGAAAGTCCGAAATTCAAAATTCTATAGATTAGAGAAGACTGAACCTGGCTCACACTATTCATTTTTTAATCAATTAAACTCACCTGCATTCACTCTGGTAAATTATATCTCCCTTATTGGTCACATTATCACCCAATGCTATTTCACAAACCGATTTATTGAGAAAGCAGTTTGCTAGCAGGCACTCCCAGGGATTTTCTTATCAGGTCTCTATTTGGATGGGGCAATCTTGTTCTCATGACCCAACCAGCATGCTCAGGCTTTATAACACTCAGTGTTTACCTGAACCTGCCATACCTGAGTCTGTTTAAAACTCACCTCTTCTCAGAGCCCGGCATCTAATGGCTCAGGTCTTAGCTGCAGTTCAGTTTTATCAGATGAGGCTGTTTGCTGGCCACAGGGGCACACCGGGGTCATGGGCCTCCACGCCTGGGGATGCAAGGGGGAAAAAAATTCCACAAACAATCTAAAAAGATAGCTTTTCAGTGGAAATGCAGCTTTTGAGAATCAGTACAAGAAGGACGATGAATGTAACATGTATTTGTTCAGGTATGACACATGCAGAGTAGGTGCAGGGGTGATATATTTATCAGTGGTAGGAAAAGTATTGTATAATTTTACTAAAATGTTCTATAATTTTATTATCAAAAAATCTGACCAAAACACCAAAACCAACTAATAACACCCTGCTCAGTTCCAAGCCCACTGCACACATGTCAAACAAGTCACAATACTATAGATATGTTTTTTATGCTAAATAATTTTCTAAAACATCTGGGCATTGTAACAAATGTTACTCAAACAGTGCCTTTGGTGAGAACTATTTTCAGGTCAGGATCAATAGACATTTGATGCTCCAAGATGTGTTTACAGCTACAGCGACTGAAAAGAAACGACAGTGCCCATGTCTATTGTAATGGAAAGGAAAGTGTCAGCCAGTGCAACAGTGTGGCTAAATTTGTAAGTAGTAAAAGCAGAGTTGCAAAAAGTACTTGATTGAAAATTAAAGGAAAATTAATTAATTATTTTGATAATTGAATAATCGCACACTGAAAATCTTCCGACTGGCCTTCAGAATAAACAAATCATCTGACATCACCTTGGACTCTAGGAAGCTGAAATGGGCATTTTTGTCATTTTTGGACAATTTACAGACCAGACTATTAATCCATTAATCAAGAATCTAATTGTTGCTAGTAGAAATATAAAGTAGCACAAAGTTAAGTATAGTGCTTGAGTTATTGTGCTTTCCACCACTGGTACTTACATTGCTTTTATTTGTCAGGTCACTCTCGTGTAATTTTGCACATCATACACATGTATACCTGTGTCACTGGACAGATTGTATTTATTGTTTTATGGAACACAGGCCTACTTTGTCTTCTCCTTCTCAGTGTCCTCTTCAAGCTTGGTGAGAGCGTCCATCTGACTTCCTCGGTGCCCAGCAACAGCAGCACATTTTTCCACCTGCTCGATGGTGTAACCATGACAACTCCTAATAACCGGCAACAGTGTGCTGGATGGGTCGGTCAACAAACGAGAGGAGTGAGGATGGTGGGCCAGGTGATGAAAATTAGAAATGAGGACAGAGAAGGAAAAAAAACTATCTGCACCTGAAAGTGAGGAGCCTGGATTCCCCTCTGTCACACACACATGATCAATAAGGATGTATGATTTTGACACAATCTTGGCAAACAGTATTCAATTTTCCTGCCCCTTTCTAAAAAATGTACAGTCATTCTCTTTTGTGACATAACAAAGGAACAAAAACAAAGCACCAAAAACGCTCATGAACTGTGTTGACCTGAATGAAGGCCCTGGGACAGCTTACTGTGATTTAAGGTGGAACTATGAAGATACACTGAGACAGAAATCAGCCTGTGTGAAGACTGATTGACTCAATGAAGGCAATTCACTCACACAAAGAACCTGGATGCCTTTGCACATGAGCAAAACCTGTGTGACAATCACAATAACCTGTACTGATCTTGTGCATGAATGTCACATTCTTTAAAGGAGTCTTCCATGTTATTCTTTCCCACTCAGTTTACTGTACTAGTGCTAGTGCAGGTGATGAATGCCTCTTGCCACTTGAAGGATTCATCATTTGGAGTTGTTCACTGTGTATACTGTGATTGAAAAGACTGACAATCTTGAAAGGACTATGCAATACGTCTATTGGTGTATGCAATGCTTTGTATAACTGGATTCTGCACAGAACTCCACACACTTGAGACTGCAAATGAATATGCACTATCAGTGACGTCACCAACAATTATTACATGCTGGAGTTGCTGTTGATAAAGCTGCCTGTAAAATAACACAAAAGCAGATGGATGGATATGTGACAAATATGTGTAGTGTAGGTATTTCTGTTTGTCACCATGTTTCAAAAGCTAGTCTGCCATATCTATAAACCTGGTCTTGCCTTGTGGAGGACGACTGACTCACACGCTTTAAAAGTGCCCTGCCCCTTCCCTTCATAGAAACCTTGTTTGCATTCGGGTTCAGGTGAATTTCAGGAATGGGACTCCTCCCCCCTCTCCTACTTCCTACCACAATGTGAAGAGATACCAAACAGGGCAAATATTGTTAATAAGTCCTTATCATAAATCATGGCACAGGACCCCCCACTGTAGAAAGAAAATATTGACAAGCATTCAGAAAAACAGTCACCTTAGTCTGGTATTTTGTGAAGGAGAGAGACATGAAAGAGAAGGATGTTGTGAGAGCAGCTGCTCTAATCATACAGGAATTCAGAAAGCCTGAGAAATGCTGGGGAGAGGAGCAACTGCTCTGGGTGCAGACGCCCACGATAACAGTATTAATTTGTTCAGACAGAAAGCAAAGCCAACTTTTGTCTCACCTCATTCACCTTTGGACTGTTTGTGTTTATTTACCCACAAACAGTGAAGCCAGATCGGGAAGTGGCTTACTTATTTTTTAATTGGGCATGTGTGACACCAATTTGTAGATTGGGTGTCAATTCTGGCAACCACAACCCCAAAAGGCTAACACAAGACAGCAACAGTACAGACATTCGTTAGCGGAAGATAAGCTAGCTAGCGATGAACAAAGGTCTGTGGGAGGTTATGTGTCTGTGTTCAGCTCAGCCCCTAACTGAAAGCACCACAAACTTTTCCTCTGGTATGACTTGTCCTCTCATCTCTGTACATTTATGATACTGTCATAAAATGGCACCTTTTGTAGAACACACAGTTCAGTGGTGGGGAACTTGGGCATAGGGACCAAATTTGGCATCAAGAATACATTTTCCTTACATTGTAAGTAAAAGACACATAAAGGCAATTTTGATTATCAAACTTGGCATATTATAAGTGGCAGATCCAGACTGCTGTTCAATATTAGGTCATTACATTAATATTTTTATTATGTTGGTTGGTTTGTGACTGTTATAGGCACATCTACTGCCATTTGATCAGAGTACACTCATACTTGTTTGGCAGGACATGATTTTTTTGCATCCTAATGTATTATTTTTGTATAAAATTGAAATCAATCATAAATCATTATTTATACTTTCTGAGAAAATATTGATATTTCAAGTAAAAGTTTTTCCCCAAAATAAATGTATTGTTGTGGCTATTTTGTGTGCAATGGTGAGACATTTCGTATATAGACAGACAGATAAATAATAATATGTCATATTTTATAACCAGAATTTCCATTATACTGTCACAAGAAGAAGTAATGGCATTGCTTACATTTTTGTTTTCTATATAAATTGGTCATGAAATGTGATCAGATCTTCACCAAAGTCACAAATATCAACAACACAATATTTCTAAGGTGATAAAACACAGTAATGAGCTTTCTTCTTTATTGAACACATCCATTAAACATTCAAAGTGATGGTGGAAAAAATAACGGCAACTGTGTTTTAATAACTGTTTGGTTTTATATATGATTTGGTCATAAAATGTGATCCAATTTTCATCTAAGTCACAAATATTGATAAGCACTATGTGCTTAAACCAAAATCACACAAACAATTATAACTTTTTATAAACACAATATTTCTAAGGTGATAAAACACAGTAATGAGCTTTCTTCTTTATTGAACACATCCATTAAACATTCAAAGTGATGGTGGAAAAAATAACGGCAACTGTGTTTTAATAACTGTTTGGTTTTATATATGATTTGGTCATAAAATGTGATCCAATTTTCATCTAAGTCACAAATATTGATAAGCACTATGTGCTTAAACCAAAATCACACAAACAATTATAACTTTTTATAAATCATTAAATATTCAAAGTGCTGGTGGATAAAGTAAGTGAACCCTTGGATTTAAAAACAGGTTGAACCACCTTTGGCAGCAATAACCTCAAGCGAGCGCTTAGACCTGCACAGTGTTCAGGAAGAATTTTGGACCATTCTTCCTACAGAGCTTCTTCAGTTCAGCCATATTCTAAGGACGTCTGGTGTGAACGGCTTGAGGTCATTCCACAGCATCTCTACTGGGCTGAGGTCTGGGCTCTGACTGAGATACTCCAAAAGGTTGATTTACTGTCCCCAGAGCCATTCTGTAGTAGATTTACATCGATGTTTAGGGTGTCCTGCTGTTCTGCTCTGACTGTTTGTGTTCTATAATCATAGAAATGCTGTGTTTGTTGATATTTGTGACTTTGGTGAAGATCAGATCACATTTCATGGCCAATTTATGCAGAAAACCAGGAAACTGCAAACTGTGCAATTATTTTTTTCTTGCGACCAAGAAACATGACATAATATGTTTGTAACTTATAAATAACAGGTCACTAATGACTATAAAATAAATGTAGTGAAATAAAATGTACAATGAAATGTACATTTGAAATGTAGTCCAGAACTATAAAGTAACATAAAATGAAAGTACATGAAATGTGTATTTAAAGGTGCAATAACAAAGGTTTTACTGCCTGCCACCTAGTGAAGGTTATAAGAACTGTGGGTTCAAACAGCCAGCAATGGAGGCACTCTCAGCAGCTGCAAGTCCACCGTGCCTGCCAAAACAAAGAGGGTGGAACAAAGAAAGTGCAAAAACCCAAGTTAACTTCCCTTTTTTGCTTTTTGAGATGGCAACCGTTAAAAGCATTGATAAAATTTGATTTTGGGTGAAGACGTCTGACACTTAAATGTAGCAGCCTATGCTTGTTGTGTACTTGTGTAATCTTGTGGTGATTCAAAAGAAACAATATTTGTAGAGGTGGTGCAGAAAGGATAAGTTGGTACAATATATAAAGCAGGCTATATTAGACCTAGCCAGACCACCAGTGTTATAAATAAAAGAGATATTTCATTTAGCAGACGGGCTAGGACTAACACTACATTAGTTACTACCAACTCTACATGCACAGCAAGTGAGTTTCACATTATGTAAAAGAAGCATGTGAAATGATCAACAAACAGAACCCCGAGGGCAGTACAATGTCCTTTCAGAGAAGTGTGTAAATGGTGCACATGACTGGATTTGATGTCCCCAAAACAGTGAGATGGAATGTTGACCAATACATTGCCTACTTGACAGAAGCGGATCTAGATACCTTTGGACGGGGTGGCCAGGCTGGAGCACAGACTCAAAGAGGGGTGGCATATTCAAAATACATGTAAAACGTCAGTTAAGCCAATAGTTTTCTGAAATAATAAATCATACATTATTATAATCAAATTGTGTAGACACAAACACAGTGTTTTCTTTAGCTAACTTTGGCTGTGCTGCTCATTTACTCCCAGCCGGGGGACATCGCTGTTGCACAGTGACCTTCACAATCAGAGAAATGAATACAAATACTGTATCTGCATGCATGATATGAAATAACATTTATTTGACCAACATTAATTATAAAACACCAGAAAAATGTTAGTTATATTTAAGGCAGTAATTTGTCATTGTTTTTCATTTTTCATTCATTAATACTGACAAGCATCACATTTTTGACTCAGGCAGGGGTGGGCAACCAGGTTCTGGTGGTGGCCAGTGTAAATACTGGCCACCCCCTGGATTCACCCATGCTACTAGAGTGATGTTGTTCAAGTGTGAATAATCAGTGTTGGAACAGTGAGGTGTTTTTACAGCAAGTACGGTATTTCTGACATAATGTCCAAGTTGCACCAGAAAAACAGTTTGTCAGTAACAAAGAAAAAAGATGTGTAGAGACAAATCACTGACATATGTAGCAGTAGCCTGCATATAGGCTGCTTGTGCCATGAGATCTTAGAGATATTAAAAAATATTAAAGTGATATTTCTTGTCGAGGTGAAAAGCTGTCTCATGATATCAGTACATAACAGAACCAGAGCAGCAGCCAAGTGTGATGGTATGTTCACATTAGTCCAGCAAAAAGGCAACTCCCTGCTGTGTTTTACCACATGGGGCTGTGTTGATTGGGGGGTGAGGGATTGCAGGGGGAGCTTTGTAGGTGTGATATGGCCACGTTGTGAAGAGTCGACATGAGTGGCTTCATTCAACGTTTCTAGCCCGTGCATTTCCGTTGTGTTTTGGTTAGCAATGCTACTAATTTAGCCTACTCTACCTTAGCCCCAATTCTACCACCAGTGTGTCTGTGTTGATGGATAAAAAGCACAGTTTAACATCCAGACAAGCGAGTCGGTTCAGTTTGGGGCAAAACCTTTTACAGTACTTGCATACTGTCGTCTTTTATTGCATATGATCAACTGAAGTGACATTCACTACAAAATGATTAGTTAAAACATTTCCAAATGCACCTACATTGTTTTGCATTTTGTCACGTTCAGTCGAATAAAAAA